CAAGCCCTGACATCAATCCTATAGAAAATGTGTGGGCAGAACTGAAAAAGCGTGTGCGAGTTATTGTGGGAAGCTTGTGGAGTTATTGTGGGAAGCTTGTGGAAGGCTACCCAAAACTTTTGACCCAAGTTAAACAATTTAAAGGCAATGATACCAAATACTAATTGAGTGTATGTAAACTTCTGACCCACTGGAAATGTGATGAAAAAAATTAAAGCTGAAATAAATAATTCTCTCTACTATTATTCTGACATTTCACATTCTTAAAATGAAGTGGTGATCCTAACTGGCCTAAGACAGTGAATTTTTACTAGGATTAAATGTCAGGAATTGTGAAAAACTGATTTTAAATGTATTTGGCTAAGGTGTATGTAAACTTCCGACTTCAACTGTACATATATCAATAGTGTATGTAATGTTCTTAGAATTGTTTTGGGGACCTTTTACCTCCAAATATATGTATCAAATAACATTTCATCCTAAAACCGTGTTTCTATTCCATGTTTCAAAGTGAAGTATGTCATTTTATAACATCAAAAATTGAACAATAAATGCTTTGTTGGAAAATGCCTCTACCATAAACTAGTTTTACTTTTACCCGTACACCACCATAAAAACAGTTATGTATTTTCAATACTGTGAGACGTGTAATTACATTTTTTACATTTACATAATTTAGCAGACGCTCTTATCCAGAGCGACTTACAAATTGTAAGACTTTTATTTTGACATGCGTTAGTACCTGGTTCCTCCTGTAAGTCAGGCCGAAATGTATTATAAAACTGCAACATTTTCTCTCCACCTAATGGCAAAATGTGTAGAATTGCAGGAAATGAGCTTTAAAACTGAGCAAAAAAAATTGGTGCCACATGGCAAAATTTGTAAAATTGCATGACATTTCTAATAAAATTGCAAAATGTTCTCTCTGCCCCATGGCAAAATCTGTAGAATTGCATGACATTTTTTACAAAATTGCAAAATTGTATCTCCTTCCCATGGCAAAATGGGTAGAATTGCAGGAAATTAACTTTAAAACGTAAATTTTTCTCTCCACCGTCAAGAGGGGAGCCCATAAAAATGTTTGCCCGCTTGGTGGGGCCCTGATTAACCTTCAGAACTTCACAGCGCACAATTCCACAGACATGTGGTCAATGGCTCCGTAAAGCCCAGGAACAGACCATTACAACGGTATAAGACACTTGGATGCCCCCACCTGAGGACATTTGGACCACACATTTGGTTTGGACCACAAGACAAATGCAGTATCATAGAGGTGTCTTTCAAGCTCAGAAATAACTTTGGTCTGCTACTTCCATAGAGGCTTCTCATATGAAGACCAAAGCTATTTTATTACTGTGTTGGTGGACATACAGTAGGCCAGTCCAGAGCATTGTATAAGGCTCTGGGCCAGTCCACCTATAACAAAGGTGTCTAGTAGTCTCCCCAGCCCAAGGACCATTAAAGAAGCCCTCCATCAGATTATGCCCCCATTATGCTCTTTACACTAGCCTCTGATTATCAACAAAGATTCTGGGCAGATAACAATTCAGCTTAACAGTTAATAGTATTAATGCAATGTGTTTATGCAATGTGTCATTAACTTTAATTGTTAGGTGACTTTGTACCATTGTACATGTGTTTTGTTGATGCTGTTGCCGTTGATGTTGTTATTGTTGTTTTACCAATGTCCCTCCTCTTTATAGAAATGGCCCCAAGGCAATAAGATTTCCCTGAATTACCTACGGGACAGTCTCTGTGCTTGATGTATCCGATAGCTACAGAGGAGGACAAAGAGGAAGAATAGGTCAATAAGAGTCTTTCATCCTCCAGACATGAGGACACAAAACATGAAGGATGTGGAGAAAGGAGAGAGAATGGAGAGAGAAGGGAGATAAAAGGAGCTTCTGAGCAGTCTTCAATATTTCTGAGCTGTGTTGGGGTCTGAGGGAGAGGGAGAGGGAGAGAGAGAGTGAAAGAGTGAGTGAGAGAGAGAGAGCGCGAGAGAGAGAGAGCGAGAGAGAGAGAGGAGAACGTGAGAGTGAGAGAGAAAGATATATAGAGAGAGTGAGTGAGTGAGTGAGTGAGTGAGTGAGTGAGTGAGTGAGTGAGTGAGTGAGAGAGTGAGAGAGAGAGTGAGAGAGAGAGGGGGGGGTAGAGAGAGAGAGGGGGTGGTCGAGAGAGAGAGTGGGGGGTAGAGAGAGAGAGGGATGGGGAGAAGGAGATATAGAGGGAAAGAGGGAAAGAGAGTGAGAGAGAGAGATTGGTTGGTGCCCATGTTCCATCCTTATTATCAGGTTAATGGCTTCCTCTCAGATCTCCAGCTGTACATCTTTTATCATGAAAATCGGACCGTTGCACGTTGTCGCCTTTGTTCTGTTAATTCTGCCTCCCTGATTACCCAAAAAGGTGTGATGCTCCTTTCTCTCAAGTTACATAAGCGTTGAAAATGTATCTGGTTTTGATCTCAGCCCTATGGTTCCTATTCCATTTTTAAATATAATTTAGCTCCGGCCACACAACACTTGAGGCGACTGAGCTGGGCTCAGAAGAGTGGATCTGTTTAATAATAATAATAATAATATGCCATTTAGCAGACGCTTTTATCCAAAGCGACTTACAGTCATGTGCGCATACATTTTTACGTATGGGTGGTCCCGGCGATCGAACCCACTACCCTGGCGTTACAAGCGCCATGCTCTCCCAATTGAGCTACAGAGGACCACATAGTTTGATTGAGTTTATTGTTTTGGAAAATTGTCTTTGCTCTACGGAGCCATCTCTCATATTAGTCAGATCTCTATGTGCCTTTTTGCCTTTCCCACTCAGGTGATGTGTACTTGGAGGCCTATAATTATACTTTAGGGATAGGTTGGCCGCAGCAGCTATGTTTATGTGGCTCTATCTGGCTTGTGTTGTGTGGAGGAGTCAGTCAGTCGGTGGCATATCAGTCCCTGTGAATAAAGGTGGAGGAGGCTGTTAGTCCATCCCCAGGGCAATTAATTATAGCAGACCTGTATGGTTGGAATAGGCTTACTCTTACCTAGTGTGAGCGTGCCACACACACACACACACACACATATGGGCATGCACACGCATACACACACACAACTCTCAAACAGCGGGATAGATAGTGAGAGAGGGAGGAGTGACAGTGACAGCATGAGCATTGTTTTATGAAAGACATCTTTGTGAGTCTGTGTTGTGGATCGTTGGCTCTAATGCTAGCCTTAACCTTGATTGAACTCGGTTGGCTCTGTTGAATTCTGAAGGCTGTTGATACCTAATGAGAATAGACGGCTAGACCGCAAAGTGTATTTGATTTTGACATGGTAGAATAGCCCATTGGTTTAGCCATAAGCGTATTTCTTAATCCAGAGTGAATATTGATTGATATTGACTTTTATCACAATATCTACTTACTGTAGGCCTACATAGATTAACAGCAGAAAATATGATGTTGAAAAGCAGAGTTAAAGAAATATGGGAAGACTGGTAGATCACTTCAAGTTGTCTGCTGCTGAACTTGTCTGACTAAACCATCTGCTAGTCTCATTTTCAATGAGGGGTTGAGGAGTGGGAGAAGTGTGTGTGTGTGTGTGCGTGTGTGTGTGTGTGTGTGTGTGTGTGTGTGCGAACGTACGTGTGTGTGTGTGTGAGGACAAACAGCTCTGCTTTCACCTCCATGGCTCTAGCTGTTGGATGACCCCACAGGTGGACAATAAGACTTGACCTCAAACCACCTTTTTGCTCTAAAATCCATTAACGTGAAGTGGATGCTGCTTGCAAATGAAATAAAGACACGTTTATTTGTGAGCGAGGATTGTGCATCTACAACACAGCAGAGCCATCCAAATAACTCAAATGTATTTCTAAGTGTACTTCCGAATGGTTAAATATCGTATCTTCTGCTCTCTCGATAGTGAGAGAAAGCAGCAGTCTCACTTGATCCATGTTCTCATCCTTATCATATGCCCTTCAAATCAATGTACTGTATTTGATGTTTGACATGTACTAATTGCCTAACTAATGTCCACCAAGCCACCAATCCACTAATCCTGCAGACCACCTCCTATTGTATATTGACCTCCAGACAATGAACTTACTGACAAAGCAAACAAGTAATAATGTATGAAGTAATAAAGACACTTGAATCATCCCATGCACACATGCATACATCTCATTGATAAGACATATGGAAATGAGTGTGTAGTGACCAGGAGCTTTCGCAGCTTCTATACTAAAGACATTATGGAGATAGGAGGAGGGCAGCCTCTTTTTTTCTCACTGTAGTAACAGTCCCCTGGCAACGGACCAGAGTGCCAATTATTGCCAAAGTCCCCCAGGTTCTCCCATCTCACTCTGTGTATTAGTAGCATCAGCAGCGCCGGGAAAGTTTAGAAGCTTCTCACGTCAGGGGAAAACGCCATCGCTGACACAGTAAGTCATTGGGATGTGTTGAATTATTATTTTACCATGAAAGATTCGATTCCAAGATAGAGCATTAGAGTACATTTGTGATTTCATTTTATTAATGTGTATTGTCCTTACAATGCTGTTTTTCATATTTGTGTTGTCATGAGAATATTTCATATGTGTTAATGGAGGTAGATGGAAAGGTTTCAGAAATTATGAGATGATAGCAATTGATTGGTCCTGTTTGATCAGTGATTTTAGAGTGCAGTTGAAAATAATAATGCAAAATTGCTTTAGAAGTGAAAAAATGTTGATGGTGCTTTAATTGTTTTCTGCATTATAGATTAATTGAGATAGTAAAATCAGTAAATGTAGTGATTAATCATTTTCAAGTCTCAGTTCCAATGTAGTTGTCTATTGCAGTATTTCAATAGTGGCTCCTGTGCTGCAGTCATAGCATCTCCCTGTGTTTCCCAGGGCTCTGATCCTAGCCATATAGGCTCCTCTGCAGGAGGACGGGGGCTCCAAACCTTCCTCCTGCTGGATTAGTGAGAGCGAGAGAGAGAGAGAAACATAGAGGAATCAGCATGGGGTCCAGCTCCTCTTCCTATGCCCCAAAAACCATCTATCTGGACGTGGATGGCAAGGTTCAGAAGGTGGGTCGTCCTCGATGAAGTTTATATTTTCTCTCTTTTCCCCATTCCTTTTTCTGAATTCCCCCACCCGATTTCTAACTGATACTATTCTCTCCGGATAAGGTGGGTCCACCTCTTTATGAAACTTCATATATATTGTATCTCTTTTTATCTATTCTTTTATTCTTCAAAAACATTTTAGAATCCATTATCAGCTGGATCAGCTGAGTTAACAGATTGCACCATTAGCTATTTTTATAGTCAGCATTAAATAGTGAACACCAAAAATGAATCTCTTATTACCTATCCATGAGTTCCATCCATTTTTATTAGCACATATATCCTGGTTGACCAGAAAATGAGATCCACAGACACAGTATCCATGCTTTTCTCTTCTGTGTGAGAGGAGATATCCTCTGAGCTAGTCAGTGGGAGTAATAGGGTCACTCCGTGGGGACTCCTGTATCAGAGTTAGACTCTTATCATAGACAGCATCCAAATGACCTTGTGTGATTACATCTCTTCGATCATTGAGGTCGCTGGCTGCAATGATGGAGTCAATCAATAGACAGACAGTTGACTGGATGGTGAAATGGTGTCTATTTTTTCTAGTAATGGTAGGCTACAGGTAGGCTACAGTACAGTCATGGTTAAAAGTTTTGAGAATGACACAAATACTAAATTTCACAAAGTCTGCTGCCTCAGTTTTTATGATGGCAATTTGCATATACTCCAGATTGTCACGAAGAGTGATCAGATGAATTGCAATTAATTGCAAAGTCCCTCTTTGCCATGAAAATGAACTTAATCCCCTAAAAACATTTCCACTGCATTTCAGCCCTGCCACAAAAGGACCAGCTGCCATCATGTCAGTGATTCTCTCGTTAACACAGGTGAGAGTGTTGACGAGGACAAGGCTGGAGATCACTCTGTCATGCTGATTGAGTTAGAATAACAGACTGGAAGCTTTAAAAGGAGGGTGGTGCTTGAAATCATTGTTATTCCTCTGTTAACCATGGTTACCTGCAAGGAAACACGTGCCGTCATCATTGCTTTGCACAAAAAAGGGCTTCACAGGCAAGGATATTGCTGCTAGTTAGATTGCACCTAAATCAACCATTTATCGGATCATCAAGAACTTCAAGGAGAGAGGTTCAATTGTTGTGAAGAAGGCGTCAGGGCGCCCAAGAAAGTCCAGCAAGCGCCAGGACCATCTCCTAAAGTTGATTCAGCTGCGGGATCGGGGCACCACCAGTGCAGAGCATGCTCAAGAATGGCAGCAGGCAGGTGTGAGTGCATCTGCACGCACAGTGAGGCAAATACTTTTGGAGGATAGCCTGGTGTCAAGAAGGGCAGCAAAGAAGCCACTTCTCTCCAGGAAAAATATCAGGGACAGACTGATATTCTGCAAAAGGTACAGGGATTGGACTGCTGAGGACTGGGGTAAAGTAATTTTCTCTGATGAATCCCCTTTCCGATTGTTTGGGGCATCCGGAAAACACCTTGTCCGAAGAAGAGAAGGTGAGCGCTACCATCAGTCCTGTGTCATGCCAACAGTAAAGCATCCTGAGACCATTCATGTGTGGGGTTGCATCTTATCCAAGGGAGTGGGCTCACTCACAATTTTGCCTAAGAACACAGCCATGAATAAAGAATGGTACCAACACATCCTCCGAGAGCAAATTCTCCCAACCATCCAAGAACAGTTTGGTGATGAACAATGCCTTTTCCAGGATGATGGAGCACCTTGCCATAAGGCAAAAGTGATAACTAAGTGGCTCGAGGAACAAAACATCAACATTTTGGGTCCATGGCCAGGACCTTAATCCCATTGAGAACTTGTGGTCGATCCTCAAGAGGCGGGTGGACAAACAAAAACCCACAAATTCTGACAAACTCCAAGCATTGATTATGCAAGAATCGGTTGCCATCAGTCATGATGTGGCCCAGAAGTTAATTGACAGCATGCCAGGGCGGATTGCAGAGGTCCTGAAAAAGAAGGGTCAACACTGCAAATATTGGCTCTTTGCATAAACTTAATGTAATTGTCAATAAAAGCCTTTGACACTTATGGAATGCTTGTAATTATACTTCAGTATACCATAGTAACATCTGACAAAAATATCTCATAACACTGAAGCAGCGAACTTTGTGAAGACCAATAATTGTGTCATTCTCAAAACTTTTGACCATGACTGTATGGTCTGACTACTGTAAGAATCAGGTGACCAAATCAAAAGCTCAGCAAAGTCATGTACTCTCTATAGGTGGCTAATGTTATTGACACAATGTGGGTTCATTACGGCTCCACAGTTTGTGTTGGTTACCACACACCTAATCTCGTTTACCAGTCATTCTGTGCCCCTTGTTGCCTATGTGCTCTATTTTATTTATATATTTGTGGTGAATAAGTTGTGAATACTCCTCAAAACATGAGTCAGGTAAGAGGCCTCTGAAATAGCTGTGTTTTCAAGTTGTGGTAAAAATAAACGAAGAGGTGTTTGTGGCATACTTTCAACGAGCACCTGTTGCTAACATGTTCTATGCCTCCATTGTTTTCTACTCCCCCTGAGTCTGAGGAAAAGTAGAGATGGTCCTGTGTGGCTCAGCTGGTGAAAGCGCGTTGCTTCCAAGGTTAAATTCCCACAAGGATCACATACAGAAATCGTATGCACTCACTGTACTGTAAGGAAAACAAGAATTGTGTGGTGGACTAATTCATTATCAAAGGGGGAAGAAACAGAACTTTATATTCGTGAGGGTAGAAACATCACTAGCCTACCCAGTATGTTCTTGTTATCGCAGCTCCCGGGCCATTGCACTGTAAGCATGTAATGCAGATAGATAACAATATAGGCTACTGTGTCTTATATTTGCTCTCATCGTATAAGCTTCAACATTGTGATGTGAGGGTCACCATCTACTCAGAAGATTGGGTGATCTCGCTCTCTGAGGCCGACATGAGTAAAGTCTTTAATCAGGTCAACACGCGCAAGGCTGCGGGGCCCGATGGTATTCCAGGGCGCATTCTCAGAGCATGCGCAGAACAGATGGCAGGCATATTCACGGTAATTTTCAACCTCTTCTTGTCCTGGTCTGTAATCCCAAAATGTTTTAAGATGACCACCATCATTCCTGTTTCCAAGAACTCTTATGGTTTCATGCCACAATGACTACTGCCCTGTAGCGCTCACATTTGTCATCATGAAGTGCTTTGAGAGGCTGGATGTGCCGTGTGATTTGGAGTCAGGCGCAGGAGGGTAAATCACAGAATAAAGGTTTATTCCGTATATATGTCTCCACCGAGCTGAAATAACCACCACAATAAACAATCACACACAAAGACAAGGGGGCAGAGGGAACACTTATACAGGTACTGATGAGGGGAATTGAAACCAGGTGTGTGTAATAAACAAGACAAAACAAATGGAATGATGAGATGAGGAGAGGCAGTGGCTAGAAGGCCGGTGACGATGAACCCTGAAGCCTGCCCGAACAAGGAGAGGAGGCAGCTTCGGAGGAAGTCGTGACAGTACCCCCCCTTGACGCGCAGCTCCAGCAGCGCGCCGACACCAGCCTCGGGGACGGCCAGGAGGACGCGGAGCAGGGCGAGCCGGATGGCGACGGTGGAAATCCCGCAACAGGGAGGGATCGAGGGTATCCCTCACCGGGACCCAACACCGCTCCTCCGGACCGTATCCCTCCCACTCCATGAGGTACTGAAGGCCCCCCACCTGATGTCTCGAATCCAGGATGGAACGGACTGATGTCCCTGATGTCCCCCGATGTCCAGAGGGGGCGGAGGGGGCAGAGGGACCACCCACACCTCAGACTCCTGGAGCGGACCAGCCACCACCGGCCTGAGGAGAGACACATGAAACGAGGAGTTAATAAGGTAATCGGGAGTGAGTAGTAACCTATATGTAACCTCGTTGATTCTCCTCAGGACTCAGGACAAACTGCGGGCTCAGTTTCCGGCAGGGCAGACGGAAGGGCAGATTCCGGGTCGAGAGCCAGCCCCGATCACCTGGTACAAAAACCGGGGCCTCACTGCGGTCAGCATTGGCCTTCTGGCGACGCACGGCGCACTGGAGATGAACTTGAGCAGCCTTCCACTTCTCCTCTGCGCGCCGAAACCAGTCATCCACCGCAGGAGCTTCGGTCTGGCTCAGATGCCATTGTGCCAGAACCGGCTGATAACCTAAGACACATTGAAAGGGAGTTAGGTTAGTGGAGGAGTGGCAAAGAGAGTTCTGGGCATATTCGGCCCATGGCAAGAACACCGACCACTCCCCCGGCCAGTCCTGGCAGTAGGACCGCAGGAACCTATCCACATCTTGATTCACCCGCTCCACCTGCCCATTAGACTCGGGTGAAACCCAGATGTCAGGCTGACCGAGACCACCAGATGTTCCATGAACGCCTTCCAGACCCTGGATGTGATCTGGGGACCCAGGTCAGACACTGTGTCCTCTGGCACCCTGTAGTGCCGGAAGATGTGAGTAAACAGGGCCTCCGCCGTCTGCAGGGCCGTGGGGAGACTGGGCAGAGGAAGGAGGCGGCAGGCTTTTGAAAAGCTGTCCACAACGACCAGGATGGTGGTGTTACCCTGAGAGAGGGGAAGATCAGTTAGAAAGTCAATACACAGGTGGGACCATGGCCGTTGTGGAAATGGTAAGGGCTGTAACTGACCCGCTGGGAGGTGCCTAGGTGCCTTACACTGGGCGCACACTGAGCAGGAGGAGACATACACCCTCACGTCCTTAGCCACCAGTACTGTCCGGTTAGGCAGCGCAATGTACGACCAATACCTGGGTGACCAGAGGAGGGAAACGTGTGGGCCCAATAGATCAGACGGTCACGGACAAGAGACGGCACGTACTGCATCCCAGCTGGACACTGAGATGGAGATGGCTCTGTGCGTACCGCCCGCTCTATGTCCGCGTCCATCGCCCATACTACCGGCGCCAAAATGCAGGAGGCCGGGAGTATGGGGGTGTTGTCTATGGGCCTCTCCTCTGTGTCGTACAGTCGTGACAGCGCGTCTGCCTTCACGTTCTTCGTACCCGGGATGTATGACAGAGTAAACTCAAACCGGGTGAAGAATAGGGCCCACCTGGCCTGGCGAGGGTTCAGCCTCATCGCTGCCCGGATGTACTCCAGATTACGAAGGTCCGTCCAGATGAGGAAAGTGTGTTTCGCCCCCTCAAGCCAGTGCCTCCACACTGTCAGGGCTCTGACTACAGCCAACAGCTCCCGATCACCAACGTCGAAGTTCTGCTCCGCCGGGCTGAGCTTCTTGGAGAAGAAGGCACAGGGGCGGAGCTTGGGTGGCGTGCCCAAGCGTTGAGACAGGACAGCACCTACCCCTACCTTGGACGCATCCACCTCCACTATGAACGGTAGTGATGGATCGGGATGGGCCAGTACCGGGGCTGAGGTGAACAGAACCCTCAGGTTACTGAAGGGCCTGTCAGCCTCAGCAGACCAGCGGAGCCGGGATGGCCAACCCTTCAACAGAGATGTGATGGGAGCTGCGACCTTGCCAAAGCCCCGGATAAACCTCCGATAATAGTTGGCAAAGCCAATAAAGCACTGCACCTCCTTTACCGTGGTTGGAGTCAGCCAATTACGCACGGCTGAAATGCGATCTCCCTCCATCTCCATACCTGAGGTGATATTGCGGTATCCGAGGAGGGAGACGGACTGCTGGAAAAACAGACACTTCTCTGCCTTGGCATGAAGGTAATTTTCCAACAGTCGGCCCAGCACTTTGCGAACCAGGGACACATGCTCGGCACGCATAGCGGAATGCACCAGAATGTCATCGATGTAGACCACTACACCGTGACCATGCATGTCCCGAAACACCTCGTTCACAAAGGACTGGAAAATGGATGGAGCATACATCAAACCGTACGGCATTACCAGGTATTCATAATGCCCCGTGGTTGTGCTGAATGCTGTCTTCCATTCGTCCCCCTCTCAGACACGCACCAAGTTATACGCACTCCGGAGATCTAATTTTGTGAAAAAGACGCCCCATGCATTGACTCGATCACAGATGGGATGAGGGGCAGAGGATAACTATAACGTATTGTCCCCTTGTTCAATGCTCGGTAATCAATGCACGGGTGCAGACCTCTGCCTTTCTTCTTCACAAAAAATAAGGGACATATGAACCCCTGGCGCAGGGACTCGGAGACATACAGTTGAAGTCGGAAGTTTACATACACTTTGGTTTTTCAACCACTCCACACATTTCTTGTTAACAATCTATAGTTTTGGCAAGTCGGTTAGGACATCTACTTTGGACATGACACAAGTAATTTATCCAACAATTGTTTACAGACAGATTATTTCACTTAGAATTCATTGCATCACAATTCCAGTGGGTCAGAAGTTTACATACACTAAGTTGACTGTGCCTTTAAACAGCTTGGAAAATTCCAGAAAATGATGTCATGGCTTTTGAAGGTTCTGATAGGCTAATTGACATCATTTGAGTCAATTCGAGGTGTACCTGTGGATGTATTTCAAGGCCTACCTTCAAACTCAGTGCCTCTTTGTTTGACATCATGGGAAAATCAAAAGAAATCAGCCAAGACTTGGTAGACCACCAAAAGTCTGGTTCATCCTTGGGAGCAATTTCCAAACGCCTGAAGGTACCACGTTCATCTGTACAAACAATAGTATGGAAGTATAAACACCATGGGACCACGCAGCCGTCATACCGCTCAGGAAGGAGACGCGTTCTGTCTCCTAGAGATGAACGTACTTTGGTGCGAAAAGTGCAAATGAATCCCACAACAACAGCAAAGGACCTTGTGAAGATGCTGGAGGAAACAGGTACAAAAGTATCTATATCCACAGTAAAACGAGTCCTATATCGACATAACCTGAAAGGCCGCTCAGCAAGGAAGAAGCCACTGCTCCAAAACCGCCATAAAAAAGCCAGACTACGGTTTGCAACTGCACATGGGGACAAAGATCGTACTTTTTGGAGAAATGTCCTCTGGTCTGATGAAACAAAAATAGAACTGTTTGGCCATAATGACCATCGTTATGTTTGGAGGAAAAAGGGGCTGGCTTGCAAGCCGAAGAACACCATCCCAACCGTGAAGCACGGGGTGGCAGCATCATGCTGTGGGGGTGCTTTGCTGCAGGAGGGACTGGTGCACTTCACAAAATAGATGGCATCATGAGGAAGGAAAATTATGTGGATATATTGAAGCAACATCTCAAGACATCAGTCAGGAAGTTAAAGATCGGTAGCAAATGGGTCTTCCAAATTGACAATGACCCCAAGCATACTTCCAAAGTTGTGGCAAAATGGCTTAAGGACAACAAAGTCAAGGTATTGGAGTGGCCAACACAAAGCCCTGACCTCAATCCTATAGAACATTTGTGGGCAGAACTGAAAAAGCGTGTGCGAGCAAGGAAGCCTACAAACCTGACTCAGTTACACCAGCTCTGTCAGGAGGAATGGGCCAAAATTCACCCAACCTATTGTGGGAAGCTTGTGGAAGGCTACCCGAAATGTTTGACCCAAGTTAAACAATTTAAAGGCAATGCTACCCAATGCTAATTGAGTGTATGTAAACTTCTGACCCACTGAGAATGTGATGAAATAAATAAAAGCTGAAATAAATAATTCTCTCTACTATTATTCTGACATTTCACATTTTTAAAATAAATGGTGATCCTAACTGACCTAAGACAGGGAGTTTTTACTAGGATTAAATATCAGGAATTGTGAAAAATGTATTTGGCTAAGGTGTACGTAAACTTCCGACTTCAACTGTATGTCTCCATCGCCTCCGTTTCAGCCTGCGACAGGGGATATACATGACTCCTGGGAGGCACAGCGTCTACTTGTAGGTTTATCGCGCAATCATTCCCGCCCCGATGAGGTGGTAATTTGGTCGCCTGCGTTTTAGTAAACGCGTGCGCTAAATCGAGGTATTCGGGGGGGATGCGCACGGTGGAGAAAGTGTCTGGACTTTCCACCGTGGTTGCACCAACAGAAACAGCTAGGCACCTACCCTGATACTCTCGTGACCACCCCGTGAGAACCCTCTTCGACCATGAAAAGGTGGGGTTGTGTAGTGCTAACCAGGGAAGACCCAACACAACAGGGATATGTGACGTTCTCTCTATTGGTCCTTTGGGTAACCATTGTGACTGGTGCTGTAACTTCCCTAACGAACCCTGACCCTATTGATCGACTGTCAAGTGCTTTGATGGGCAGTGGAGTGGATAGGGGAACCAATTGAATACCTAGACGGGCAGGCCACTCCCAGGACGTCCTCTAGCAGCCAGCAGGTTGTCCAACCGGATGGCCATGTCCACCAGCTGGTCGAAGGTTAACATGGCATCCCGGCAGGCTAGCTCCCTTCGGACGTCCTCTCGCAGGCTGCACCGGAATCCGTCAATCAGGGCCCGTTCGTTCCACCCGGACCCAGTTGCTAGTGTCCGAAACTCCAGGGAGAAGTCCTGCGTGGTCCTCGTCCCCTGCCTCTGTTGGACCAGACGCTCGCCCGCCTCTCTTTCTTTCCTTCGGGCGGGTGGTCGAAGACTGCCCGGAAGAGGCGAGCGAACTCCCCGTAGTTGTCCAACGCGGTTCCTCCTTCTCTCCAGACTGCGTTGGCCCACTCCAGGGCTTTCCCCGAGAGGCAGGAGACGAGGGCGGACACCGATGGAGCCGGGCTGATGTTCACGAAGTAGAGGTCCAGCTGCAGGAGGAATCCCAGCTGGAGTGTGGGTGGCCAGATCCGGTCGCTCAGCTGGTCCCGACGGGTCGGGTCCTCTCCTCTCCAGGCGTTATACGACCTGGAGAACCTGATCTATCGCTTCTCCCAAACTGGCTAGCATCCTGGAATGCTGGTGGACCCGTGCCACGGCTCCAGGCATGGGCTCTTCTCCTGCTGACTCCATGGCGGGTGTGTGATTCTGTGCCGTGTGATTTGGACGGAGTCAGACGCAGGAGGGTAAATCACAGAATAAAGGTTTATTCCGTATATATGTCAATACAAAGTACATGGAGCTCCACCGAGCTCATATAACCTCCACAATAAACAATCACACACAAAGACAAGGGGGCAGAGAGAACACTTATACAGGTACTGATGAGGGGAATTGAAACCAGGTGTGTGTAATAAACAAGACAAAACAAATGGAATGATGAGATGAGGAGAGGCAGTGGCTAGAAGGCCGGTGACGATGAACGCCGAAGCCTGCCCGAACAAGGAGAGGAGGCAGCTTCGGAGGAAGTCGTGACACTGGATATGTCACACATCAACTCCATCATCCCAGACACCCTAGACCAACTCAAATTTGCATATCGCCCCAACAGATCCATAGACGACACAATCTCAAATCACTAAGAACTTAAAATGGGCCCTCAAATCCTCAAAAAGGTCTACAGCTGTAACATTGAGAGCATCTTGACTGGCTGCATCACTGCTTGGTATGGCAATAGTACCGCCCTCGATCGCATGGCGCTAGGGTGGTGCGGACAGCCCAGTACATAATTGGGACCGAGTTCTCTGCCATCCAGGAGTAAAAGGAAGGCCCGGAAAATCGTTAAAGACTCCAACCACCCAAGCCATATAGACTATTCTCTAGTGCTGACCAATGTTCTACATAGTTTAGTGTAGAAAACATGATAATTAACTACAATGACCATCACCCATTGCGGGGCTAAACTTCTCCAGTCTGTGTTTATTTTATGCATGCTATGTAGGATACAGAAGAATGCGAGATCAAGAAGGGGTACATAGAGAGCAGTTTCTTCAAGAGGTATCTCTACCTGAAAATACATGATAAGTGATTGATAGTTGGTATTCAGCAGTAATAAAAGCATGCTTTATTTACTTTGAAGAACTACTAAAATATTGATTTTGTCAGACAGCATTGGCAGCAGCTCTATAGAGATGAGATGATGACTTGGAATGAAATAATAAAGTCATCAAATAAAACAAATGTAATATACACAACAACTGAAGTACTTGATTAAAGTAAAGTAATGTGAATAAATGATTGTTAATAAGTGATGAACAGTAATGGGCAGTCTCTACCATCATGGGACTTTTATCCATTGTTATATTCTGTGTTGTTACAGTATTCAACCCTCATAATGCATAGTGCATTTAATGTTTAAAAATCGAAAAATGAAGATCATTTTTTTATAATCTAACCGAAACCAAAACAACCTCAAAAAGCACTAATCGCTCAGCACTACTGTTCTCTTGCTTCCGCACGGTTTGACCCCAACAACAGCTTCTATCCCCATGCCATAAGACTGCTAAATAGCTAACTAAATAGCTAACAAAATGGCTACACGGACTATCTGAGTTGACCCTTGTATTTTATTCGTATGTCTCTATGCACACTCACAGGGCCCTACACACTTACCACACTGACACTCCAACACACATACAAACACTTACTCCATCATTTGCTCATACACACATAATATGCACATACATTTATACTGACTCTACACACACGCACACCCACTCACATAGAATCATCAAATACGCTGCTGCTACTCTGTTTATCATACAGTATATCATGATGCCTAGTCACCTTACCCCTATAGATATTTACATTTACATTTACGTCATCTACCTCTATCAATCCAGTCTCCCTGCACATTGTAAATATGGTACTGGAACTGACTCTATATATAGTATGCTTACTTACTTTATTGTGTTCTTCTTATTTCTTATTTTTTATCTTGTGTGTTTTTGTTCTACCTTGTTATTTTTTGCATTACATTGTTATTGATTACTGCATTGTTGGGGTTAGAGCTTGCAAGAAAGGCATTTCACTGTACTTGTGTATGTGACATTAAAACTGATCTTATAGAATGTTGCATATTATACAACGGGTGGGTTTAATCATGGATGCTGATTGGTTAAAACCCCTTTCCAGCCAGTGTCTATTGCAATGTTGCATCTGGTAGCTCTTCAAATAGCAACTCTTCTCTAATGGATATGGCCTCCAATTTCTTTGGCTCATTAAATCTTGAATGCATTCAGGGATAAAAATGGTCAATTCCCTCTGCATATTTAATCCAATTAGCACAAGTGAATCTACCAGATTTTGTTACCTTTGAACACCGACTAGCCTATGTCTTCAAGTCTGCTTTGATTTAGGATACATAAGGCCAGGCACTTAGGAAGCACAGTATACTTGTGACGACACAAACCCCTGTTGTTATGGTGGCATAGAGTGGTTCAAGTGGAGACCTGAAAGTGACACATGTCCATTCAAGGGCTCGAGAGTTTGAGGGATTGTCTACTACAGCTGCTTGTGTAAAAGGTCTTCGTGTTGTTGGAGGCTAGCCAACATCGCAAGCGTAGATACACTTTACTTGACAATTAATCTCAGACAGACACAATATGAAATTTTTTGATGTGTGCCATCAGTATACCACAAATAGGAACTGACATTGTATAATCTGTTTTGGCATTTCTGTGTATATAGTTGTGATTTACAGAGAATGATACAAACTCTCTCACTGGGTTGATGACGCAAGTATTTGTTGCTAGTATGCTGTTAGAGTGTCGTATTATCTACGATATTGGGTTGGTCCCTGACAAGGGTAGGCTACACTGTGTTTAGTTCACACACATTTTCACACACATTTTCAACTGCAGCCTTTGTGATTTAGTCCTCAACATTTTAACTCATTACATACATGGCTCACTTGAAAAAGAGATGTGGATCTTAATGTGACTTCCCTGTTTAAATAAAGGATAAATAACATTTAAAAAATAGAATTATAATAATAATAATAATAATAATAATATGCCATTTAGCAGACGCTTTTATCCAAAGCGACTTACAGTCGTGCGTGCATACATTTTTGTGTATGGGTGGTCCCGGGGATCGAACCCACTACCTTGGCGTTACAAGCGCCGTGCTCTACCAGCTGAGCTACAGAGGACCAGGAATTGTTTTCTTCCCGCTCTCTTTCCACTTTGGACACTGCAGCCTTTTCTTTTTACAACAGACTCAGGTCTCACAGAGAGCTGATTGTTTTCAGGTGGCTTGAGATGCATAGGGAGACATATATGACGCTCACCTTTCGTCTGCCTTTTTTTCAGGTGGTTTTCAGTCGGCACTGCAGCCCATGTGACATCAAGGAGCTTCTTTGTTCCTCGTCCAACATCCCCAGGTCAGTGACATTTCAGCTGCAGCCGTCTCCTTCTCTCGTCTCTCTCACCACTCTCTCACAGTCACACGTCAGTTTAAAGTATGCATTACACACAACACATTTGTTTCAGGTTCACTACGAACTTTTCGTCTCCCTATCATGACAGAGCTTCATGAATGATAAGCAAACTTAAAGTAAACACCAAACGACAAGCTTAGCATGTGTTTTAGAGCACGTTAACAAGAAACGTAGGTTGCATTCTTAATGAAACCCATATAGTGCACTACTTTTGTGCCCTGGTCAAAAGTAGTGCAGTTTGGGAATAGGGTGCTATTTGGAACGCATCCTTATTATTTATTATTGTTGCTCCCCCTCCATAGGAATACTGCCATCATGATGGTGGATCCTGAAGGGGCCATGGTGTCCATAGACCCGACTATGCCTACCAACTCTCCCAAGTAACATGTCACCTTTACCCTAATCACTGAATCTCAATGATACAGTATTTGCTCTATTGATCTCAGTCATAGAAAAGCATTCCTGACCATTGAATGCATAGCCTTTGTACTATGTGTAAAAATATTTTTCAAATGTGATGTGAACAATGACTTGATCAATGATGTTGGATTTTCACTGACATGTTTTACAGCTCCTTGTACAAAGTCATTTCTTTGTCCACCGGTCAGCTAGGAGGTGAAGTACCAACGTGATATTTCAAATTCAGCAACACTTTTTAACCTTTGACCTTTTAGTCCTTAATTCATTCTTACTCACATAACTCACATAAAGCTATCACAACAAAACTTAAAAACAATGTAAAAACAATGTTAAAACAGATCTGGGTACTAAACATTTCTTCATGTTTACAGGTAGCTTTTTGATCACTAGGGTGATTTATTTATTTATTGTTTGCGCCCACAGATAGAGAAGACATGTTTCAAAACGTGTTATCTCAGGTGGCAGAGCAGTTCAGCAGGTAATTGGTGTGTTTATGTTCCACTGCAGACTTTTCCCTTTCCGCAGCAATACCTCCATGACACCAGGGCCTTTCAATCAAACCCCTTTCACATATTTTTGCAGGGCTTTCCGAATCAACGAGCTGAAAACTGAGGTGACCAACAGACTTGCCATGTTGGAGAAAAGAGTAGAGTGTATGTGCAGGGTTTTTTGTTTGACTATCGATGTGTGTTTCTCTCTTTGTGTGTGTGTGTCTGTGTGTGTGTGCGTGTTTGTGCGCGTGTGTGTTGCTTCACTGTTACTGAATTCACCACTTTATGTACTAACAGTCATGTTGTTGTTACAGTGGAGGGACTGAAGGTTGTGGAGATTGAGAAGTGCAAAAATGACCTAAAGAAACTACGAGATGAGATGACATCCAGAGGAGGAGGGAGGTACGATGACCTTTGACATAAATGACACTCACCAAGCTATGCTTCAGATTTTTTAGGATATTATATACAAAGACGTTTATGATGGTTTTAAAATGTTGTGATTTAGAGAAATCATACAGCTCGTAGATTGATGATACAAATATGATGTATTTGCTCCCATCTCTTCAGAGTTGGGAACTGTCCCTGCAAATACAACTTCTCAGATGACGGGAAGAAGCTTAATCCCAGACGCGACGTCCCAAGTTATCCAAAGGTACGGAATTAGGGGATTCTAGTAGTATACAGCAGGCTATACATTTTTTTCTCTTACCTAAAGATATTCATCACTTTGACATCATTAATCCTAGGACTGACGCTGTGACTTCTCTCTCATTTCTACAGTACACCTTATCCCAGGAGACTATTGAAGCACTGAAGAAGCCAACATTCGATGTCTGGCATTGGGAACACAATGAGGTTAGTTCTCTTGAGATTCATCTATCATCTAATATCTATCATATTTCCATCCTGGCCTATATAATCACATTTTTGTAGTAAAACATTTTGAAGTATTTTCTCAAATTGTGAACTTAAAGGAATACTACACTCAAAAACGATCATTTGTTTTGTTCATTAGTCCAATCCCAATTATTTTTGCATGTCAGCAATCAAGTTTTCAAGATAGAGCACTTGTTGTGCCTTATGATTATGCGTGTAGTATTATTTGAACTGTGTCTTTGATCGGTGGTTTAGATGCTCAGCTGCTTGGAGTACATGTACCACGACCTGGGACTGGTGAAGGAATTCAACATGAACCCCATCACTCTCAAACGCTGGCTGGTAAAAGTATAACTGTAGAAAAGCAATTACCTCAATGTGCAAGTGATATGGAACAACGACTTCAAAGAATTGATGACTATTTGGATAGTTTGATCGACAGCTTTCTTTCTCACAGCTGGGCATTCAGGAGAACTATCGCAGCAACCCGTTCCACAACTTCCGCCACTGCTTCTGTGTCAGTCAGATGATGTATGGCATGATTAACCTGTGTAACCTGCCGGTAAGAAACGACTGTAATAATATAATATAATACATGCCATTTACCAGACACACATGGTCTATAACTAGGGTCCAGATTTTTTTCCTTGTCAGGTCAGGTGGTCAGGAAAACCTCCTGGCACCTTGTATTAGAGATTTATAGTAGACATAACGTGCTGTGTGTGTACCTCAGGAGAAGATGACTCTGACGGACATGGGCATTCTCATGACAGCTGCAGTGTGCCACGACCTGGACCACCCCGGCTACAACAACACGTAAGCGCCCAAAGGTTCCTACTCTGCGCCTCAGTTCCCACTGCTCTATAGCCTTGACTAGATCTCTGAATAGATGTTGATGATAGACACAATATTGATGTGTTCATTCACAAATATATATTTTTCGAACTTCTTCAATTATGTTATTACATTGTGGAAATGGTCCAATCTCTGCTTCCAGGTTTGATGTAAGGTCCGAAGTTCCTTCCTAACCATGTGACATGACCAGGGTAAAACTCTGGGCCCTAGTGATAGGCTTCCCTGGTCAGGTCATGTTGTCAAAGGAAAACTCCTGGTATTCGGCATGTCAGAGGTTTATTTTGCTCGTCAGGTACCAGATCAACGCTCGCACAGAGATGGCCGTGCGTTACAACGATATATCTCCCCTGGAGAACCATCACTGCGCCGTGGCCTTCCAGATCCTCTCACTGCCCGAGTGCAACATATTCGCCAACGTCGAATTGGAGGCCTACAAGCAGATCAGACAGGTAGGTGGTGTCCCAGGCTAATGCACAGTGATTCTTCCTGCCTCCCAAATGGAACCCTATTACCTACATAGTGCACCACTATTGACAGAAGTAGTGCACTATATAGGGAATAGAGTGCCATTTGGGATGTAACCTTTGTCTTTTTGCATTTCCTTCTCTCCAACTAACCACGAGATGTTTTGAGTTGGCCTAAGGCAGGATGATTCCATCGCCCTTTACAGGCCATCATTACCCTGATCTTGGCCACAGACATGGCCCGGCACGGAGAAATATTAGACTCCTTCAAACATAAAGTGGACAGCTTTGACTTCACCAATGAGGAGCACGTCACATGCGTACGTATCGTACATCACATGACATCAACTATCTATGTATACTGTATATCAAGGGGTGCCAAATAGGCATACCTTTGTTCAGGTATAGCCTCAGCACTTCAGCAAACAACAGAAAGTAGGAGGGGTGGTCAATAACAAAGACTGGGATGGAAAAATAGGGCATACCCAAGAAAGAGTTTAAATAGTGGACTGGAGATACACTATATATAAAAAGGTATGTGGACACCCCTTAAAATGTGTGGATTCGGCTATTTCAGCCACACCCGTTGCTGACAGGTGTTACAGGAAGGGGTCACAGTTCCGGAGCGACCCACTAGGTGTCCTCCTCCGACAACCTTAGGCACCTCCTCACGCACAGTCTGGACTAATCATCATCCTATTGGTGTCACCTGTGTCTACCTGTTCACCTGTGTATTTATGTCCTCACTTCCCTGTGTTCCCTTGCTCAGTTGTCTCTGTTAGTTTCTCTATGCTCAGCAGTACTAATCAATGTCTGATCGGAGAGGTATGTACAGGTACTCGAGAAGTGTTCTCCCTGTTTCTTTATTATTTCAGTCGTAGTTACTATTTCGTATTTTGGCTGTCAGCCTGTTTTTGGAGACTTATTTGCTCCACCTTTCTTTTATCGTGTTAAGTCGGTTGTTTTGAATCCTGGCTTCGGGACCACCAGTAAAGTTTCACCATCTCTGCATACTGCCTACTGTCTATCCTGCACCGCAACTGGGTCACACCTCACACCAACCCTTACAGACAGGTGTATAAAATCGAGCACACAGCCATGCAATCTCCATAGACAAACTTTGGCAGTAGAATGGCCTTACTGAAGAGCTCAGTGACTTTCAACGTGGCACCGTCATAGGATGCCACCTTTCCAACAAGTCAGTTCGTCAAATTTCTGCCCTGATAGAGCTGCCCCGGTCAACTGTAAGTGCTGTTACTGTGAAGTGGAAACGTCTAGGATCAACAATGGCTCGGCTGCGAAATGGAAGGCCACACAAGCTCACAGAACGAGAGCGGCGAGTTTGTCCTCGATTGCAACACTCACTACTGAGTTCCAAACTGCCTCTGGAAGCAACGTCAGCACAAAAACTGTTCTGGTTTCCATGTCTGAGGAATCGCACTAAGATCACAATGCCAAGTGTCGGCTGGAGGGGTGTAAAGCTCGCCGCCAATGGACTCTGGAGCAGTGGAAACGCGTTCTCTGGAGTGATGAATCACGCTTCACCATCAGACGGCTTCCAGTAGAACACTACCTGCCCGAATGCATAGTGCCAACTTTAAAGTTTGGGGGAGGAGGAATACTGGTCTGGGGCTGTTTTTCATGGTTCGGGCTAGCCCCTTAGTTCCAGTGAAGGGAAATCTTAACGCTACAGCATACAATGACATTGTAGACGATTCTGTGCTTCCAACTTTGTGGCAACAGTTTGGGGAAGGCCCTTTCCTGTTTCAGCATGACAATGCCCCCGTCCACAAAGCGAGGTCCATACAGAAAAGGTTTGTCGAGATCGGTGTGGAAGAACTTAACTGGCCTGCACAGAGCCCTGACCTCAACCCCATCGAACACTTTTGGGATGAATTCGCCCAACATCAGTGCACAACCTCACTAATGCTCTTGTGGCTGAATTGAAACAAGTCCCTTGAGCAGCAATGTTCCAACATCTAGTGGAAAGCCTTTCCAGAAGAGTGGAGGCTTTTATAGCAGCAAAGGGGGGACTAACTCCATATTAATGGCCATGATTTTGGAATGAGATGTTCGACGAGCAGGTGTCCACATACTTTTGGTCATGTAGTGTATAATGTGATTGTAATGGAGTTAAGAACGTACTGTAAGCTCACTCCACAGCTATCTTTAAATGTCGCAGATGGAGCTATCGAATTAGATATTTTGATAGCTCAAACGATTGGTATGCTGTAAAGGAGGGCGGTCACGTGTGTCTGCAAGCAGAGGATCACTAGTTCAAGCCCGATATGGGGACAAGGACAGTGGAGGAGGCTAAACTGTTAGCAGCACACTGATGTCCGTTTCATGATGTCAGTCTGGTCCATCCTATGGAATAAATCCAGAGGGTTCTAAGATAAAGTACCTGTGTTAATCTTAAATGCTCCAAAGCCTTTTACCACAAGTACAGTGCCGTTAAAAAGTATTTGCCCACTTTTCTTATTTTCTCTAGTTTTGCATATTTTTGATACTGATTGTTATCAGATCTTCAACCAAAACCTAATTTTAGATAAAGGGAACCTGAGTGAACAAATAACACAACAATGACTTACTTATTTCATTTATTTCATTAACAAAGTTATGCAAAAACCAATGCCCCTGTGTGAAAAAAGAATTGCCCCTTTACACCCAATAACTGGTTGTACCACCTTTAGCTGCAATGACTCCAACCAAACGCTTCCTGTAGTTGTTGATCAGTCTCTCACGTCACTCTGGAGGAATTTTGGCCCAAACTTCCATGCAGAACTGCTGTAACTCAGCGACATCTGTGGGTTTTCAAGAATGGGACCCATGTCGTCCAAAAAGTTATAATTTTGAATAATCTGTCCATAAAACATTCTTCCAAGAGTCTTGATGATCATCCAGGTGCTTCCAGGTGCTTTTTTGAAAACTTTAGCCAACATTTTGGACGACATGGGTCCCATTATGCCTGGCGACAACCAAACACTGCATCCCACACTAAGAACCTCATACCAACGGTCAAGCATGGTGGTGGTAGTGTTATGGTTTGAGAATGTCAGGCCATCTGTCTGTGAGCTGAAGCTGAAGCGCAGTTGGGTCATGCAGCAAGACAATGATCCAAAACACACAATCAAGTCTACTTGAAAATGGCTAAAATAAATAAAATGAGTATAAAATGTTTTCGATATTTGTAAACTCAGGTTTTGGTTGAAGATCTGATAACATTCAGAATAAAAAATTATGCAAAAATATAGAAAATCAGAAAGGGGACAAATACTTTTACAAGGAACTGTAGACCTTTCCTGAAAAGTCAAAATAGCTAGCCAATGCTAAAAACTATGGTTGTGTTGACATAATGCATGGTGAAAAGGTCTCTTTATTCTTTGTCCGTTTGTGTGCAGCTGAAGATGGTTTTGATCAAATGCTGTGACATCTCCAACGAGGTCCGGCCTACAGAGGTGGCCGAACCCTGGGTGGACTGTCTGCTGGAGGAGTATTTCATGCAGGTGACCTCAATCAAGTCTAATTATGTCTAATAATAATAATGTCTAATAATGTGTAATAATAAAGTCTAATAATAGTGAGTCTAGTAGCGTGTTGATTGGATTTATGGAGTGAAAACAGGCTCAGCTGTCACTCTTGAAGTTGCATGTGCTTTATTTAGAAGAGTAAAAATCATTGACATTTCGGCCATCTTGGCCTTCATCAGAATGAGTCTATTGATTAGAATGATGTCATGAAAGAGTGGAGTGACATGTTCAAACCCTCCTGTCTCTGGAATGGACAGAGTGACAGGGAGAAGACTGAAGGGCTGCCGGTGGCTCCGTTCATGGACAGAGACAAAGTGACCAAGCCCACTGCCCAGATCGGATTCATCAAGTTTGTCCTCATCCCAATGTTTGAGACAGTCATGAAGGTAGGCGTGTGTGCTTGAACTACAAAGCAATGTCACAATATTAGATTGACATAGTGTGTGCATGTGTGCCGCCTGTGAGTGTTTGCGTGTGCTTCCGTTTGTACACGTCTCTTATATTTCATGACCTTTTGAAAACAATGCCAGTGCATAATTGCATATTGACTAGAAAAGGCTGCTGTCCTGAATCCCTAGACCATCCTCCGCTGTGTGTGTTGCAGCTCTTCCCCCAGATTGAGGAGATCATGGTGCAGCCTCTGAGAGACTCTAGAGACCACTATGAGGAGCTGAAGCAGATCGATGACGCCATGACAGAGGTAGGACATCTGTTCACACTTAATAATTACACTGTCCTTCAGGGTTGGAGTCAATTCCATTTCAATTCCAGTCAACTCAGAAAGTAAACCAAATTCCAATTCCAATTTCCAATTTTCCTAATTGAAAAACATTGGAGAAAATTGGAATTTCTTATTACTCACGATCAACCAGGGTATTTGTATCGGGGGGAATTACACGTCTGTGTCCAACCACTTTCTAACATAAAGGTGTGTCTTTTGTTCAACGAGGCACAGAAGAAAAAAACTGAAAATATGTCATTAGGAGGGAAGAAGAAGTAAGCTTTGCTGCTGCTACGAGTGCAGTGGTGCTGTGTAAGTAACTGACTCTGATTGGACTGTAGTGTTAGCCCTGAGTGCCCTCTCTCTTCTGCCTCTCTCTAGTCTGCCAACAACAACACTGCTGCAAGCTAGTGAGCTAGCTATAGTAGGAGCACAATATTTTTCATCACTCTGAATTTGCTTTCGTGAAAATAACTGAACAAACAAAAAGAATCAGCTCAACTCTACTGCATTCAAAACTTTTGTTTTCACAAAACGAACAACAGACTCGGAGTATTTGGAACCACTAGCAAGATGAGGCTCTTCCATTGTAGATGAGGTTTATAGTTAAAATATTCAGTTCTATAGTATTCCCCTCCAATTTGCACCAATCAGTCCTGGCCCTTGGGAGGGAGGGCACTCACCTCAACACCAAAAACGAAGCTGGTCATTTACATAGACCTGCAGCCCAGTGGCAAAAGCAAAGTGGTGAAAACGTTGTGCTGTCTAAACGTCATCAATGTGGGTCGTGGGATTCTTCACAAACTCATTGATAACATTTTGACGACCGAATAGTATCTTCCCCGTCTATGATTTTACAGTTTTTCTCTCCCTTTGCTGTGTGTGGTATTGCAAGTTCATAGCGTGCAAGATTTTCCACAGCGAAGAGCATTGTGATGGATATATTACCGATGGAGCCAAATCACAATCAAGAATGCTTTGTTCTCTTTAAAGCACAGTGTGTGTGTGTGTGTGTGTGTGTGTGTGTGTGTGTGTGTGTGTGTGTGTGTGTGTGTGTGTGTGTGTGTGTGTGTGTGTGTGTGTGTGTGTGTGTGTGTGTGTGCGTGTGTGCGTGCATGCGTGCCACTTAATCAGAATCCTCTCTCTTGAGAATCCAGTCTGATATACTGAAGTGCTTGTTTCATTTTAGGGCTCTGGCTCTCGTTTTATGATCCAAAAATTCAAAAAGGTCGTGGGTCGTCCTGATCTGCGTCTTTGAAGACAAGATGGAGGGTGAAAAGAGTTGTCTTCTACACACTGAACCAACCTCAGACTACATGAAACCTCCTGGTTGATCTCCACTGTTTTGTTATGGACATTACAGAAGGACAATGGCTCTGTTTCAATGTCCACACTAGCATACCATTTAGGATGAATTAATGTATCAGGGACATTGGAATTATAGCCCATGTGTGTTCTTGGTGTAGTTTGTATTTTTATTCATTTTTACTGTAATTTCTGAAAGCTAATTGGTTATTGTAGGTATCAACGGCTGTGTTCAAACAGGCAGCCTATTTCTGATCTTTTTGCCCAATTATTTGCAAAAGATATGATCTGATTGGTCTAAAGACCAGAAATTGGGCAAAATATCAGAATTGGTCTGTCTTTGTATGTGCAGCCTATCATAATTTCTGAGTGACAGTTGGTCATTGTAGGTATCAACATGCCATATTTTCTGCTTTCTGTTTTTAGTCACACTTGTTGATGTTGCCTATTACGGTATAATGAATAACTAAGTTGTCTACTAGAACATTCTCTTTTCCCTTTTCAGTTCTCCTATTCAAATGTAAAACTGTTTCTGAAACAGTTTGAATAAATTCACTCTTGATTTAACCATGTCAAGTCCACAGCATATTTTAACATAATTCTTATTATGAGGGTTAAGCATTATTCCAACAAATTCAACAAATTATCCCCCAGTGTGTGCACTGAATGAATTTACATAAATTCATATTTTGAGGTTTGTGTAATAGCACATCCATTGTTGTGCAATATATTCAGTCTTAGATACATGTTGTAAGTTATTACAAAAGTATTTAATTACAATCTAAAATGTTATTGTATTCTATGTATTTTTGCATAGTACATCCTACATAAACTGTGCAAAATACAGTACAGTTGTAAAATATATAACATCCTTTTATACTAAATTTGTCACCTAGTAATAAACTCCCCCAGTATTTTGAAAAGTCACAGGTTATTAAAAAGAGACCAACATGTACAGTAGTCTGATTTTCATTTTCATTGAAGGTTCATGAGTCATACCATTGACTCTTCTCTGATTGGTGCAGGGATGAATGAACCAATGGGAGGTCAAGCTCGGGAGTCTTTGAAAGCTTGTGTACTTTACTTGATATCTGTTTCCTATTGTGTATGCTTTATACACAATATGGATGTCCCATGCTTACGCTTGGATTTCCTGCTCATTGTCATTTAGGAAAACAATTTTAAGAGTGTAGTAGCCTATAGCTTCAGGCTTTGAGGGGGTATGAGTTGAAACAGGACTTCTTTGCCAGTTTTGTTGTACCACCCCAAGCTACCACTTAACCCACATCTCTCTTTAGTGTCCCTCCACAAAAATAAGTGGGTGGTATTTAACAGGTACAGTAGATTTACTATTGCCTGTTTTATAACCTTTGTTTATTGCAACCTGTTTCACATTTCCAAGATTGATAATTGTCCATCTGTAAGACGATACTTACATATGATTACACTTTTTATGACCTACATGATTCTGATGACAATTGGATGATAAAGTATATGGCCCCGAAGAATCCAAAGAGATAGGATGACAATACTGACTTTAATGTTTGCTGCAGGTATGCTGCTAGATACTGATGACTTTTGGAAAATTCCAGAGAGACAAACAGGGATGTGGCGGCAGGTAGCTTAGTGGTTAAGAGTGTTGTGCCAGTAACCGAAAGGTAGCTGGTTTGAATCCCAGAGCCAACTAGGTGAAAAATCTGTCGCTGTGCCCTTGAGCAAGGCACTTAACCCTAATTGCTCCTGTAAGTCGGTCTGGATAAGAGCGTCTGATAAATGACAAAAAAATAGGAACTTTCCTCTGTATGTTTTCTTTGCTAGTTGGCTTCACGTCTAAGACCTTTTCACCTCTTTTCTGAATCTGTTTGATGGGGTCATGGGGCTGTACTCAGGTCTTGAGGATAGCCTAGTCATTTTGTTAATAGGGAGCTATCTTTATACTCCATGTTGCATGAAAGTAACCACTAGGCCTTGCTATTGCACTCTCCCCCCAAAATGATATCTTTCTGATAAATTATGCTTTGCGTGTAAACTGTTTGTTTTAGTTCTTTGTTTGATTCTCACTGCAGTATAATTTTGCCCTTATCTTTCATTTCAATTACTCAAAACACCCCTCAGACATGTCCTACTCTGTTGTTGATGCGGCAGCAAGAGACTGAGATGACTCCCGAGACAATTATAACATGTTTTATCACTCAAGTTTGTTCAAAGAAAGGACAACTCTCAGTTGACTCTGAGAGACACGTCTGAAGTCTTTGAATGAGAGTAATTACCCACCAGCCCCCTCCCTCTCCCTCTCCCTCTCCCTCTCCCTCTCCCTCTCCCTCTCCCTCTCCCTCTCCCTCTCCCTCTCCCTCTCCCTCTCTCCCTCCCTCCTTCCTTTGTGATGCTCTCACTTGCGTGCAAGACATCAAGACACACAGTATTTACATTAACCAGAAGGAATGCTTTAATTAGCTATATAATATAATAATAATATGCCATTTAGCAGACGCTTTTATCCAAAGCGACTTACAGTCATGCGTGCATACATTTTTGTGTATGGGTGGTCCCGGCGATCGAACCCACTACCTTGGCGTTACAAGTGCCGTGCTCTACCAGCTGAGCTACAGTGGACCACTCTATGACATACTCTTATCATGAAGGAGATGCTGTTGCTTTGCCAAGCAGAGCTAAAGGGACATATTGATATCCTTTAATATATGTACCCTTTAAATACCTTGTATCAGATTAGATAATACATGTCATCAACCATGTGGCACCTTGTATTACTATTACAAGAGGATGTAGATGTACAGTAGACATTGAAGACAGAGAAAATGTCACCACAGCTTTTGAATATTGTGATTATTTTCCCTGAACTGATAAAGAACATTGGACACAACTAATTTGTTTTTCATTTAGAACAAAAAAAACGGAGTGCTTTTATGGGGATTTTTTAAATATGCTAATTAGATTTCCGCTGGGGCGTGGACATCGACTCTAGGGGGTTAATCCCATTTATTTTATTTGGCATTACTGACATTCATTCAATTGAACAACAACCCATTACAGAAGTTGTTTTCATGAACGCAATTTTAATTAAATACATGTAATTAAATCATACCCTATTATAAGTGCCTTGGGCAAGTGTCACATCTTATATTATCTTGCCAAAGGTATTTTTGTTGATCTAAAGAAGGGTAACTACTGTATCGCTTTCAAATAAATCTTGACAACAAGACCTTCCAAAAGTTTTCCAAAAAGTTTGCACCATGTTTCATTCTAACATGCTAATGTTACCGGTCTGAAATGGCTAGCTAGAGGTGCGCGCTAGTAGCGTTTTAACCGGTGATGTCACTCGCTTTAAGACCTTGAAGTAGTTTGTTTCCCTTGCTCTGCAAGGACCGCAGCTTTTGTGGAGCGATAGGTAACAATGCTTTGAGGTGACTGTTTTTGATGTGTGCAGAGGGTCCCTGGTTCAAGCCCAGTTGGGGCGAGGAGAGGGAAGTAAGCAAAGCTGTTACACTAAGACCAGAAGTCTGAGGTTTCACATTCAACCTGTTAGAACTTGATAAGTAGACATCTATGTTGTCATATACAGGCAGAGGCGTCATGCACCCCAAACGTCTGAGGGGGAACAAAGTATGTGAGGATGGCTGGGGGGTGGCTTGAAGGGGCTAGGCCCCCTGTATGTAAGTCGTAACATTTTGCATTTTTCAAATACCGGTAACACCCTTTTCCCGCAGTCTAGAGCCATATCCATTATGCTTAATTCTATGTAAAAAAATATGTAAATGTTTCTGCATATCTAAGCACATCTCTTGAGCTGTCTGTATCCTCCTGACTGGTGTTTTTTTTTTAAAGAAACTAAATATGCTTCTCTGCATCTCTGCTAAAATCTGGGTAAAAGATTGAAAGGAATGTGGGTCTTATTAAGTACATTTAGCAATTGCTTGCTTTTCTAAAGTCTACCAACCTTGCCAGCAGGCATACCAGCTAAGATAGTTAGACAAGCTAGCTACTCTAACTTCATTGATAGCCTGAAATGGCTTCTTGGTAGCTAGTTATGAGGTTGGGAGATCGGGAACCTATCTGGGCTAGCTAAAGCCATCTTCATAAAAGTGTAG